ATTAACCATATCATTACAGTATATTAAAACAGCCATTGAATTTAAACATTTTGACCACAATCCAACTGAAGGAAAAACCACAATTAGTTGTGCAGTGTTTTTAGCCCTTCTACAGGCTTCTCTCCCCACAACCACTCACATGTCTGATTTCTTAACCATTGGAACATCAGACGCCTGAGGGAAAGCATGCTAGGGAGAGGGGACACGGAAGGCGTACATCATTGCAACTATGTAACTCTGAAGGATATGAAGTTCTAGTCTTTAAAATTACTACTTCTTATAGCACTATGCAGCATGTAGCATATGGACCACTGTAGTAGCTTAGAAAATAGCATAAGCAGGCTCTTTTCTTTAGTTGACTGCAATCTAACATTCTCTGTGTTTCATTATTTACAGCTGGTGTGTTTGCACTGGGGAAATTCTAACCTAATTTTTCTTATGACTATCATGTTGTCTTATACCTTTGGCCTTCCAACACAGCTCTAGAAGAGGTGTGTGCTGATCCATGTTTCCATTTAATCCTTCCCCATTGTTCATCATATTAAGGCCAGAATTCTATAGACAATCACATAAAACAAATGGGCAAGGTGATTTGTTATCTGTCTGCTGCATTTAATGAGGAATTTCTTGACATGTTTTATATTCTAATTATTTGTTTAAATAAATTTAAAAGCAATGCATCACCAACGCATTACTTATCAATGACATATTGCATTGTTTTTCAACAGCAAAAGAAGTAATACTAAGAGCTTTGTACATAATGTTTCCAAGCTCTGAGTATAGCTCAGATTCTCTGACATAGCTCTGTTAGATACTGCCATTTCTGCCAGAATATGTGATTCCCCCTCCCCCATCTTGCAGCCCCATTCATGTGTACCCCAAACACCTGATTGGAAGGACTGGGAAAGGCTGAAGAGCAGGGTCTTGTTGCAAGGGAGACTACATCAGGAGTGACCAGAAAGGAGGTCTCAATTTTGCTGGTGCCGGATGCTGAAGTGTTGGATCTGAGCCTTTAATATGGTGCCAAACACCATAAAAGACCACCAATATATAAAGTTTAACAGCAAATTTTCCCACTCCCATCTATTGCTTTTCTTCTGTGTAGCTTATTGCTTAAATTGTTTTTTTTACAGACATAGCCTCTTAACCTTTCATTTCTCAAACTATTCCAGTGATGTCTTTTCAGCCATGCTCTCCTAATAATTATCTTTGCCCATTTACAGAAGCTGAGTGAGATTGGGAGCAAAAGGGACACTGCCATATTTTGCTCCCAGTTTCTTCTCCACACAGTCACTGATTCATGCAACAACATTATAATGGTCTTCACACCTTTTCCTCTCTTCAGCACACCGACTGTGATGCTAGCTTTTCTTTTCTTCTTCCTGGAATACTATGACCTTCTATACAGATCCCTTCATTAATCTGTCTTCCATTATGTAGCAACCTCCTTCTTAAGAGGTTACAACTAATTCATAAGCCATTACGTCTCATGAGCAGTTTAAGATGATCATTGACAACATGAATCAGCTTGCACGGCAACTCTAAATTTTTATAACCTGCCTCTTCTAATTCCTCTTGGCTTATGCTTCATGACCAGTAGTAACAGTGGTGGCGGTGGTAGTTTTAAGCCACCCTGGATCCTAACATAAATCAGAACAGTGAAGTCTTTGCACTTTGACAATGTGAACTAGTTGGAGTTTTTCAAATGAATCACTCTAGAATACACTCGCTTTACTTAGTTTGGAGGGGGGGGAGTAATATAAATCTTTGCCTTTCAGTTATAAAACAAGAAAGCCATAGAGAGCTGTGTGAGAGGATTTAAAACCTAATAAATGAAAAGTAACAATTGTTATCCTATTACACACAAAATATGACTAGCAAGAGATGGGATGTGTTGTAATCACTGTACTTCTGCTTCCTAAAATTTCAAACCCACTGTTGTTGCTGCTGTTACTACCACTCTTTACTAATATTTTTAAAAAGTATATACTGTTCAACTGGAAAATGCCTTATGACGTAAAAATATGAAACACTCAATAAAATCAATAGGTGGAATGGGAGTTGCAGTTCAAAAGCATCCGAGTAACAAAGGTTAAGAACCACTGTCCTACACAATACGAAGACCAAGATGATGATTTGGCCCTTTCTCTCAAGCCCACTAACTTATTTATTTTATTTTATTTATTTATTTTATTTGTATCCCACCTATCTGGTCAATCGAGGACCACTCTAGGTGGCTAACAATCTTAAAAAATAATACAGAAAACATATAAATAACAATTGAGCAAGGCAATTTGTTATCTGTCTGCTGCGTGCCCCACAGTCCTCTAGTTATAGAATGGGACATGTGATTGACAGCCAGCAAACTGGGAAAATTATGCTGGATTGGGGCCTACAAGTCTTACAACTTAATTGTTCAGCAGATGGCAGGTGATACTGATTCACTAGTATTTTCAGTGGCTCTATTACTGGTTCTCTTTCTAGATACCTATTTAATTCAACTGACCAAGTGACACCCCCCAGACTGTCCAGAGGGAGCAGAGAGATGTCATATAAGATGGTTTCTGTGCCTGATGTCTATGTAAAGAGACCTTTTTCAAAAGTATGGGCATTTCATCATACAACCCTCTCACCTGCTGGCGGCTTGTTCTTTTCTATCTCAGCCACAGAGGGAAGGCAGAGGCTGGCAGGCAAATCAATGTTAGCTCTCTTGACATGGGGAGACCACCTCACTTGCTTGTCTACCAATCAGAGGAAAGTAACCTGAGCTAAGGCTACCCTTTCATAAACACGACACAAGGCTACTATAATCAGAATTTACAGATAACTTGTTAAAAGTAACGCTGTTTCTTGTAACTCCTATTAAAATCTATTTAAAACATTTTCTAATGATGCTAACATTAACTTGTAACAAAAATGACACTGATGTTTTAACTAAAAAGCAACACTACCCATTACTGTAATACATAGCCTGAAATCCTGTTTCCATAACTTATACCACGTAAGGTTGATGATGTCAACAATAGTAGTGATTTTTTAAAAATTAAAAATTTCCAATTTCTCATCCAAACTCCCCAGGCTCTCATGTAAGAGAGATTCACCTGCTTCAAAGGACTGGGAAAGGCTGAAGAGCAGGGTCTTGGTGCAAGGGAGACTACATCAGGAGTGACCAGAAAGGAAGTCTCAATTTTGCTGATGCCGGACGCTGAAGTGTTGGATCTGAGCTTTTAATCTCCTTGCCGGCATGTGCCAAACACCATAAAAGACCACCAATATATAAAGTTTAACAGCAAATTTTCCCACTCCCATCTATTGCTTTTCTTCTGTGTAGCTTATTGCTTAAATTGTTTTTTTTACAGACATAGCCTCTTAACCTTTCATTTCTCAAACTATTCCAGTGATGTCTTTTCAGCCATGCTCTCCTAATAATTATCCTTGCCCATTTACAGAGACTGAGTGAGATTGGGAGCAAAAGGGACACTGCCATATTTTGCTCCCAGTTTCTTCTCCACACAGTCACTGATTCATGCAACAACATTATAATGGTCTTCACACCTTTTCCTCTCTCAACACACTGACTGTGATGCTAGCTTTTCTTTTCTTCTTCCTGGAATACTATGACCTTCTATACAGATCCCTTCATTAATCTGTCTTCCATTATGTAGCAACCTCCTTCTTAAGAGGTTACAACTAATTCATAAGCCATTACGTCTCATGAGCAGTTTAAGATGATCATTGACAACATGAATCAGCTTGCACGGCAACTCTAAATTTTTATAACCTGCCTCTTCTAATTCCTCTTGTCTTATGCTTCATGACCAGTAGTAACGGTGGTGGTGGTGGTAGTTTTAAGCCACCCTTGATCCTAACATAAATCAGAACAGTGAAGTCTTTGCACTTTGACAATGTGAACTAGTTGGAGTTTTTCAAATGAATCACTCTAGAATACACTCGCTTTACTTAGTTTGGAGGGGGGGGAGTAATATAAATCTTTGCCTTTCAGTTATAAAACAAGAAAGCCATAGAGAGCTGTGTGAGAGGATTTAAAACCTAATAAATGAAAAGTAACAATTGTTATCCTATTACACACAAAATATGACTAGCAAGAGATGGGATGTGTTGTAATCACTGTACTTCTGCTTCCTAAAATTTCAAACCCACTGTTGTTGCTGCTGTTACTACCACTCTTTACTAATATTTTTAAAAAGTATATACTGTTCAACTGGAAAATGCCTTATGACGTAAAAATATGAAACACTCAATAAAATCAATAGGTGGAAGATAGGATGTTGAACACTATTATTTGCAAGAAATGCCAGAAAGAAGAGAAAAAAAAACCATAACACAACTGCTCACTTTATTCCATCTGCCTTGGCTGAAACAGGAAATGTGAAGGAAAAAATTGAAGAGATCATAAAAAGAAGAAAAAGGAAAGACAGACTGACAAAGAGTGGCAATGGCAGTTATAAAACATAGGCTTCACTACAAAATGAGGGCTGGTCTCAGATATGTAGTTGTCCTAGTAGCACCAGCAAAGTAGCCTTCTCTGACACAAATATTCATAATATCCAGCTTTTCAATTTCACATCTCTTCATGAATCTCCACAATGTCCAACTTAGGACTTTCACAGTGACATATATTGTGCCCTTACTAATGAACTTCCTAATGTCATTACTATTTGCCTTTTGGAGCATGAGCTTTCATCAGCCCTTTCCTGATTAAAAATCCTCTGTATCAAAATAGTCATTGTGTTGCTAATATGTCTGACCTTGGATTGGAAATGAACCAGAGAGAGAGAGACAGAGACAGATAGAGACAGAAAGAGCTCATGTTGTGGAGGAGTATTTTTGTATTCTGGATGCACTTTTCCTGAAAAGGGATGTCTGAAGAAAACTTGATATGCATGTCAAGGCAAGGGCTTTATGATTAATTTATGAGGGAAGGGGCATACAAATGTGCTGAAAAGAAGAGATGAGGGGAAGAAAATCTTTTGACGTACCTTGTCAGTATAGACGAAGAAGAGAATCACAACGGTGAGCTCCAGCACAAACACAATTAACAGCATGATAAAAAACTGTCAAGAGAAGAGGGGTGGGGGAGAAAAACAAAAGCCCAGAAACATCAGAAATCTGTTTCATCCTCCTGATGCTGAACAATGCATACATCTTTCCACGAAAGGACTGTTCTCACTCAGGTTTAGTTTCTTCTCAGGGCATTAGCTTGTGTCTGGGTAACACTGCTTCCAATGCAGGTAGGAGCTCCTGTTCTCACTCAGGTTTAGTTTCTTCTCGGGGCATTAGCTTGTGTCTGGGTGACACTGCTTCCAATGCAGGTAGGAGCTCACTTCACTTGACTATGGGTTGCTCCATGCCAGTATATATATATATACTGGCATGGAGCAACCCATAGTCAAGTGAGTTCCTCTCTCTCTCTCTCTCTCTCTCTCTCTCTCTCTCTCTCTCTCTCTCTCTCTATAGATAGATAGATAGATAGATAGATAGATAGATAGATAGATAGATAGATGAGAGAGAGAGAGAGAGAGAGAATGTCACGGAAACCCTCATGCTAGAAACATTCTTCTTGACAGCTAATATGGCAGAAACATTTTTTTTAATGAAGAAGTATTCAGAGATGCATGTTCCATCTGTAGTCTGACAGGAATTAGACCAAAGTCACCAAAGTAATGACAACAATACCTATGCTCGCTCTCATTTACTCTGAGGGGAGACAGATACATGGAAATAGGCTGAGGAAATGAGGAATGAAACTGAAGTTCCAAACATGCAGAGGATCTAGTACAGCCATCATTAATGGTGATGACTACCCAACTAGCCCTTATTCACAATAGCAAACTTTCCCCATCTTTCAAGAGCAGAAAATGGCAATATGGTTATAACTTGGACTTCATATGTGCTGGTGACCCTATAGTCCAACAATGCATGAGATCAGTCTATACTCCAATTCCAAATATCAGCACTGGCCCATAATGTGACAACTCATGGCAGTGATCCAACAGAAGATGTTTTTAAAAAGAGGACTGGCAAAAGTTCAGTATAACATTGGATGGAATTATACCAAACATCTGTCCAATCCATGAGGCCTATGACAATTTCATCAAGTCAATGAAAAGATCATCCCAATTATAGATACTCTGAGGATGCAAAAACAACTGCTTCCAAGAACTAACATCAGAAATAATTATTATCTAAATGGAATAATTATTTTTACTATTTGAGCAAAGTCATTTGAACAAATATACCCTTTTGACTGGGCAACAATTGTTTTCTTTGGTTTCAGAAGCTAAAAGAGATAATTGGATAAAACTCATGGAAAAAAAATAAACATGTCAAGAAACAGTCAAAAGACCTGGAGATTATTAAAGCAGCTGAACAATGACCCACGTAAAAGCCCTTCTCATGCAAGTGTCTCATTAATGGCAGATCTGAATATTGCCATAAGAATTTAGAACTTAAATTTGAAGCAAGAAACAAGCAACTGGATACCAATGACCTTACAAAGCCATTCAGCTTCAGTTAACTGTAAAAAAGCTATGTGTACCTGAAAAAATGGAAGGTAGGAGGCCTAGATGATATCCGAGTAGAAGAGAGAAAATATTTTGAAAAAGTAACTAAAAAGGGGGGCTCATTAATTTCTTTTTTAGTTGTCTTGACTCTGACAGGTGTCCAAAAATTTGGAGAAAGTCATGAGTGACTGATATTTTGAAACCCGGTAAACAACCCAGTGAGCCCCATTGCCCCCCCATCAAGTGTCAGAGTGGTGGGCAACCTTTGTCCATATATCACTGGGATCCAGACTAGAAGTTGAAGCAACATTTTTATTGAATGGGTTTCAGGGGGTACAGCCAAGCTTTTAAAATGCCAATCCCTTCTCCACATGTCCAGTTCCTAAGGGACCGAGTTCATCATAGCCCACCTGCTAGGCTTGGTGACCCCATTGCCTCCAGCTGCTTTTACTGAGACTGGGTTGAAAAGAAAATGGAGAGTGGCCAAGAGTTCTTAAAGGTGTACCTGGCGACCCCACAGAGAAGGTTTGTAGAGCCTCAGGTTGAGACTGACACCTCCCGAAGATGCTACAGACACTCCTGTTGGTGCTATTGCTGGCATCTGTAGCACCTTTTCTGTGTCAGGGCTGGGGTCTGGGTCAGGAGTGGTCCTCAGCTATGGCTCTGGCATGGCAAGTAGCTGTTGGCAGTTCCAGGTGGCATTGCCAAAGACCTCTGCTGTCCCTTTAAAAAAAGGTTCCCCTTGACATGTTAGTTAGTCGTGTTTGACTCTAGGGGGCGGTGCTCATCCCCGTTTCCAAGCCATAGAGCCAGTGTTTGTCCGAAGACAGTTTCTGTTGTCACGTGGCCAGCACGACTTAGATTCGGAACACTGTTTACCTTCCCACCGAGATGGTACCTATTTATCTAGTCACATTTACATGCTTTCGAACTGCTAGGTTGGCGAGGAGTTGGGACAAAGCGACGGGAGCTCACTCCGTCGCCTAGATTCGAGCTTACAACTGCTGGTCTTCTGACCCTGCAGCACACAAAGGCTTCTGCGGTTTAGCCCACAGCGACACTGCTGTCCCTTTAGGAATGCACAACTCCATAGGCTTCTGCGGTTTAGCCCGCAGCGACACATTAGGAATGCACAACTCCACTAAGGCCTCCAGCCATGGGTCTCTCTGGCAGATATAACAAGTAGGCAAGCACAGGCTTTTACATGGCATAACCCCAGGACTCCTCTCACTGTAAATCCCCAGTTTTTGCTTCCTTTGACCCCAATCTTGTTTTCCCCGCCCCCCTCAACGTCTTCCAGTTTCATGGCCCCCAGCTGCCCTCCAAAGCCCAGCCCTCCCTCCTTCTCTAGAAGTTCATCCTCCTTCCCTCCAGTTCCAGTGCCCACCTGACGTCAGACAGCCCGTTCAGGGTTCCAGACGCAACCCCCTCACAAACCCATAGATCAAAAAACAAAACAAAACAAAAACCTAAGGTCTGATCTCACTACATTGTTCTTATCATCAAGCCCTGGAAATAATTATTCTTAACTATCTAATGGAAATAGTGAGGCCTCTCTTCAGCCCACAAAATGCTGTCTTTAGCCCTAGGAAGGATTGTACAGCACAAATTCAACACTTAATGAACCCCATTGAGGATAGCTTTGAAGCCAAGAAGATCACAGGCAGCCTTTGTTAACTTCTCGGCTGTATATGATACTGTTCATCACCAAATAGTACTGCCAAAACTCTATAATCTAACCAAGGATTATAAAGTTAATTAAAGTAATAGAAACCCTTTTGCAAAATCACCAATTTTTCATCAACTTTCAAGGACAATGCAGGCCGATGAAGGACTCCAAAGAATCGTCTACCCCAGGGCAGTGTACTGGCTCCTATTTTGTTCAGTATCAGCACCAATGACCAATCACTTCCTCGAGGCACTGAAAGTTCAATTTACGCTGATGATTTCCCACTTGTTTCTCAGACAGTTAGATAGCTTAGACAGTTAGATAGCTTTCAGATGGTAGATGCATTAGAAAAACTTGGTGCATATCAGGGTAGAAATCAACTTAAATCCAACCCTGCTAAGATTCAAATACATGCCTTACATCTTGGAATCTTGAAGGAACAGTAGAAAATGACAGGAAGATAATGAGGAATGAAAGAACTACCCACCTACCTCTTCAAAGGAATGGAAATTCAGGAAAATCTAGGCCCCAACCACACAGAGAACTGGGTTACTGGGAAGTCACTTAATAGGCTATGGAGTGAAGTTGGCAGAACCAAAGTAAACCTAGGAAAATGAGTTTCTTCCACTGACGCAGGCATTTGCAAAAGTGAGGAAGAGGCAACTTCACACCTCTGTCAGGGTGTACTCTGTGGCCCTGGACATGTACCATGGAAGACTTGATGTCAGTCGTCCCAAGTGCTCTTGAGGCTACCCATTACTGGGTGAAAACTGCTTGATGTATTTATTAATTGTACTGTGGTGCTTCTGACACAAACAAACAAGAAGTAGGTAGTTGTGTCAGTCGGTTGCAGCAAAAAGAAGAAAGAATTTTGTGGTACCTTAAAAATTAACCAGTTTAAAAATTTTCTTTTTGGCAAAAGTGTTCATTGACTGTCGCTTGTCTCATTTGATGAAACAGGTTAGAACCCCCACATGTTACACAAAATGAAAGGCGACACACGTCCCTTTGTGTGTAAGACATTCTTGACATTTTTCATGGACAACTCTACTTGCTGTCCCATTGATACTCCATTAACCAATGTTGCTGTGACATTTGGCCAATTAGCCCTGGTAAGAGGTTCATTCTTTATGTACGTGCACATACCAACTCTCTCCCTCATATGTGGCTTTTGGAAAAGGAAAGGGCTGCTTTCAGCACCTTTCAACCTAAAAGTAAAATAAACTGAATTTTGTAACACATTGCTGCAAAATAATTAAATTAAACAGGCAGACATATTCACAGTCCAATCCTAAACCAAATCTAAGTGTTCTGTCCACATGAATCTGAAAAGGCACAGGAAAGCCAGTCCTACCGGCCCCATCCCTGCTCTCATGTCTTTGTTCTATGCATGTTGCCCTCCATATTCTAGACAACCCTGCACATACAAGAGTGTCCCTTTATAGAATTTTCTTCTGAACATGTACACTGTGCTGCATTTCCCCATCCACACAATTGGGTGATGAGGCTTTAATGATGAGTGGAGACGGTACATTTGTATTTGCACATGTGGCCATAGTTGTTCGTGTCATGCCAATCATGGAAGTAGCCCAGCTACTGTTCTATTACCGTTCTAAATCACGGGTTCTCAACCTTTGGTAACCCTGGTGTTCTTGGACTGCGACTCCCAGAAACCTTCACCTGCCTCTGTTAGGGGTGGCATGGAGGGCCTCTTTGACCATTGTCTTCAGTTCACAACCCGGCCGAAGTCTCAGTCATCAGGCCAGAACAATTACCTAGTCTGTGGCTGGGGTCCAGTTTTCAATGCTTATCCTAGCCAGCTGACATCTTTTAAGGAGGATTGCTAATTCTGGGCCATTGGAGGTTCCCTCAGGTGGGTCAT